GTGATTGATGCATTATGTACCCACCCAAGGTTGCAAAAACAAGCGTTTGTTTGCGCGTTACCTACGAAAATTCATTTTTCGTTTAGTAGTACCCTAATTTCACGCGTATAAGGCGCACTTTTTCAAGCGAACCTTTCAGTCGGTCCACTGCATCGCGAAAAGAAATCCTTACATGGCACGATTCTCTCAAAATATACAGTACGTTTTAGGGTCCTTTGGTTGCAAAGTCCCTTGGCATGTCTGGGCTGGTCGACTTTGGAAAAAAATCCCCCGCGCCTTACGTGAAATTAGGGTAATTAACTGCCTCGTTTGCAGTGACACATAACGATGTGACTCGAATTGGGTGTATAAACGGCCAAGAGCAAGGCGGAGCATAATGCCGAGTATTGTACAAAGATTATGTGACTGAAAGGTTGTGGCAAGCCTTTTTTTGAAAATTTTTACATCAATTAAAATTGGAAAAGTGGAAGTTTTACGTAAATGAAAGTCATTTGCAAAACAAGATAGCATGCTCCAAATCTGGTGTGTATGTGCAAAGGGAATTGGAAAAATGCATGAAAATATATGAAAAACTTATTCAAATAAAGACCGTGCTTAACTTTTTTCCATATTAGGTGGCAAGTGCCCACTTAATGCTTCCGTGAGGGTGGCAGAACTTTCATTTCACATTAGGCTTTTCAAAATTCTCGCATAATGTTCCAGAACTCAAGTAATGTATAGTAACATTTTGGTTTCAGAATTCTTCCTCTTCTCTTTGTTAGGGTCCGAAAAACTACAGCGCTGCTTCTGAGAAAGAAAACGTGCTACAATCGAGCATTTCAAGCAACTGATGAAATCAATTGGGAATTTGTGGAAAATGGGAACTGGCAAAGGCGAACTCGTTTCAAAGGTATTCATTTACCGTCCTAAGCGAGGCCCTAGTGCCAGACTCAGCATTTTGGCCCAAGTTATCTCAATGCGATCCTCGAACTTCAAGTTTGGAATCCTTTTTCAAAAATTCCCTTTTTTAACTTGACGAATAATGCAGTAACGAAAAAACTCTGGAATTCAAAACTGCTGTCAAACAAAAGGGTACGATAAGGAATCAAGAATTGAGCGGCTAATGAGTGATCAAAAGATTTTACGCAGTAATATACATCAACCTTACCTGATGATCCGATCGATTGTATCCATGGACTGGCACTTTTCTCTTAAGCATTGAATGAATGATAGCTCGAGCGTCACGAATCATGAGGATATGTTTGGACTTTGGAAAAACTCTACTGAGAAATACCATAGTTTCTGCAGTGTACGGATCTTTGTTACAGAGTCGCTTGGCCAACGATCCATGTTTGGCGATCAACTGTGTGTGTCGATATTAGCACACAAAGCATAAATGAAGTCTAAACCGAACTTCTGACCTCAGAAATGAAGGCCGAAGTAGCATCATCAATAGTCTGCTGACTTAGACCGCTCAACTCAGCGTATCCAGCCATATCCGTGCTCTCCCATTTTTTCCTCCACACTAGTATTTCAGGTATCACATGTGTTTCTTCGCCACTAAACTTTACACTGATAAAAGTAAGTCTCTAGATAGATCAACCAACCAACGGATATCCTCGTGGGAGTCAAGCATTACTCTCAAAAGTGTTGTACCGGAACGCGGTATACCGCCTAAAATGTTTTTTATGCATACTCGTACAAAAATGATAAAGTTTATACCAATAAAAATTATCGGTTCTTCACTGCTCAGCAACCTTCGGTTATATCTAAGCTTATCACTAACAGTACTTTGCAGCGCTAACTCCAGCTCCAGCACGTCATTGTAGTGGCTGCTTCTAAACAAATAATGACTTGACTGTTCGGTCATGTAAATGGCTTTTATCCAGGTGCAGATGTCTTCAAAAGCAAAAATCGTAGACCTCCATTGTAAGCTTTCGCCGTTATAAAAGCTATATTCAATTGTTGTTTGGAGCTGCCAGCTGTTTGGAAATTTTCGAGATGATATCCTGCTTTTATTTGATAATCTTCTTATATATAAAGCTGAATGTCTGTTTGTCTGCCTGTCTGTGTGTACGTATGTTCCGAATAGAAAATTCCATTTCTGAACCGATTCGGACCAAACTTGGCACACATACACTTCGGGCCCCGGCGGGTGTCATAGGCTACTTTTCGTCATCGATCGATATCGATTTTATCGATTGTTATCGATTTTTTGCTGAGTTCACCTACGGGGCTGGGAGTTGGCACAGGGGGGTAATCGAGCATGGGGATTCCGAATACAATATTGGTTTTCAGGATTATCGATTACTTTTATCGATTTTATCGATTTTTTGCAAAGTTTGAGCTACGGGGCTGGGAGTTGGCACAGGGGGGTAATCGAGCATGGGGATTCCGAATACAATATTGGTTTTCAGGATTATCGATTACTTTTATCGATTTTATCGTTTTTTTTGCAAAGTTTGAGCTACGGGGCTGGGAGTTCGCACAGGGGGGTAATCGAGCATGGGGATTCCGAATACAATATTGGTTTTCAGGATTATCGATTACTTTTATCGATTTTATCGTTTTTTTTGCAAAGTTTGAGCCACAGGGCTGGGATTTGGCAAAGGGGGGGGGGGGTAATCGAGCATGCTGATCATCCCCAAGGGGGGTGATCAGCATGCTCGATTACACCCCTGTGCCAAATTCCAGCCCCCTAGCTCAAATTTTCAAAAAATCGATAAAATCGATAAAAGTAATGGACGATCTTGAAAACTAATATTGTATTCGTAATCTGCATGCTCGACTACCCCCCCCCTGTGCAAACTCCCAGCCCCGCAGGTCAAAGTTTACAAAAAAGATCGATAAAATCGATAAAAGTAATGGACGATCCTGAAAACTAATATTGTGTTCGTAATCAGCATGCTCGATTACCCCCCTGTGCAAAATCCCAGCCTCGCATGTCAAAATTTACAAAAAATCGATAAAATCAATAAAAGTAATCGATAATTCTGAAAACTAATATTGTATTCGGAATCCCCATGCTCACTTCCCCCCCTGTGCCAACTCCTAGCCCTGTAGGTGAACTTTGCAAAAAAATCGATAAAAATCGGTAAAATCGACATCGATCGATAACGAAAAGTGGACTGTGACACCCGCCGGGGCCCGAAGTGTATGTGTGCCAAGTTTGGTCCGGATACGGCGGAGCCGGGTAAGCCAGCTAGTGTACTTATATAGCGACTAACAAATATAGTGGCTAACGGATTGTCATGATAAAGGCTCCTCTGTTTAGGCTTGTTTGCTTAATACACTTAGCTTTCTCAACAAAACTCCCACTTTGAGATAGAAGAGGGTTCTAAGATAAGAATACGACTTTTGCTTACCACCAGAGAACTAATCAGCCACCAAGATCTGCAAAAGCTCTCTTAAGCTTTGAGAAAGTTAATCCCCAATTATGCAGTAAAAAGTAGAAAGGCTGATCTCAACTAGATTTGATACACGGCAGCTTGGGATTGTCTAATATGAGAAAAGTTGGTTTAGCAAAAAGAGAAATGATAAGATAAGCAGCTTTACTTGCAAACTCTAGCAATTAACACATCTACTTTGCATATTAGGCTTTGCAATAAGTTGTTCGCAAATTTTGATTCACTCTCGAAGTTTTGTAGGCGTTTGGTATAATGCGAATATGTTTCCAAAAGCTCTGTCCTGCTCTGTCGTAATCACTGTTTCGGTAAATCAAATCGGTGGAATTTTGGAGTTTTCAACTTGGAAATCTGACAAAGTAGAATTTACCGTTTTCAACAGCTATAGTTAACCTTAGAACGGGCTTAATTCTTATCCAACAACTCCAAAAATTTGTAACCTGAACGGAGACAATGCTATAGCTTATAAAGCCTGCCCAGTAGTGCCCAAATTTTGAGAATCGGATTTTCAAGTTTCCATATAGATCTCATTTTTAATGTTTCTTCAAAGTCGACTTTGAGCAACTGAATGCTTTCCTAACAAAAATACCCACAGACTTTTTCGATTGGCACAAGGTTGGTATGCGGTTACAAAAATATCGAGTTTATAAGTTACGCACCGAAAAAAATTAAAGTTGAGGGAGCACAAAGTAAACAATCAACAAGTTGATCCTGTTGTCACGTTTGTTAAAATGAAATTTACCATTGGTAAACGGAAAGATTGCATGTAGAAAAAATGCCCAAATTTGATTTTTTGCCTCTTTGGATTTCTGTTTCAGATCTGAAATTTTTTTCTGAACTCTTCGAAAAATCAGGATGTTGAAAGTATGCTTATAAAGTGGTCTTAGATTCTTCAAAATGTTGATACTTTACCAAGTATGAAGCAGAGTATTTTGAAAAAAAACTGAAACAAAAAATGCACAAACTTTTTTGACAACCCAATAATTTTCTAATTTGCGAACTGAAAACTTCTGAAAGCTTTCCGGAGATTGAGGGCCACAAAAAGTTGCGCCTATGTAGGTTCCATCAAATGATTTGCTTCGAATTGCATATATTCAAAGTCCGATTTTTGATTTTGAAGTAGAAGTGCAAACAAGGAGCAAGACTGGTCGACCAACAACCACGGAAAAAAACTTTTGAAACTGGTTTTCGGGCCTTCACGACCACTCAGGCCAGAACCGCAACTTGAAACACAACACTTTCATTTGATAGGCATCTATTTACGGCTAGGCCGTATAGAGCATTATTATTGAAGATTGCGATCAATGGCAGCGGATATTTGGCATATGGTCGCTATACATTTCAGTTAGTAGTTTACCACATGAGAAGAATATAATGTGAAAAATATATTTTTTGTTCTTCTGTAACTCTAGTCATTAACAGGGTAAAGCGGGGGGTGCGGCGCACGACCGTCGGATACGACCCCCCCCCCTTGGGCCGGACCTCGGCACGACCCCCCCCCCCATTCCCTACCCCCCCCCCCCTCCTCCCTCCACCCCATAAGCAGACCAGTTGTCAAAACCTGTTGTTTCTCATACCAGTTGTGACTTTACAATCAGACATGACAGAGTAAGAACACCGGTAACAAATGGTTTCAAAGTTTTTTCCAAATGCTAAGATAAACCCATGTTTTTCGTAGAAACTAGCGCGATTATGGTCGAGTGACTGAAAGTTTCGTGAGTTAGAACACGGTCTCAATTTGAAAAACGATATGAAATGGTGAAAGGAAACACAAGTAAATGCAAAAAGATATCCGCTTCACTGTTCATCATCTGCAGTCACGTCTCGGCCATTCGCATGATCTCCGGCAACATTCGCCTTAGCAGTATCTTCTAACCCATTAGTACTAGCGTCCACTGTTGCAGGTTCGAAGATCTTCCTGACTGGCTTGTCAGCCTTGCGCCACAGCGTAACTTCCTACAACGAACAACTTTCGAAAAATGTATGGACACAAAAATGGAGATAAAAACAATTTACGACTGCTTTTAGTCAACAGTTTCCACCAAATGAGATCTAAGTAGGTTAAGACGAGTAGCAGGCTACGTCCTACTTCCCAGCTGAACTACCAAAGAGCCGAACTCTTAGTTCCCTCTTTTATGATGTGAATTAAGTGCGAAAATTTTGGTGAAGACATTAAATGTTTATTATTATGTATAAAAACTCTAAGGCCTCGACCAGACTTCGCTCAAAAGCGCCCAAAGCTCTTTTCTAAACTCATTTCGCTTTCTCTCATCTCTCCTCACAAGTGAAAGAGAAGAGACTCTGGAGAAATTCGAGCGGTTTTGGGCGCTTTTGAGCAAAGTCTGGTCGGAGGCTAAGTACCACAGCACTATTTTTGTACAAATCCTTGCAGACGAAAAGATACGTGTCTATGATATGGCCCTGATACTGCATGTCTCAAAATGAAAACAACGTACATAAAATCCAAATGTTGCTGAATCTTTGCAGCACAGCGGAGTTTTGTAATGGGCAATCCCTCTAGTCAGTTAAGATGCTAGGCAAATAATAAAGAAAGCCAAAGCCTACACACGGTTTTGCCTCATAGACAAGCATAAAAGTATAATTGAAAAGAGAAATATGAACAACACATAAAAGTGAAAGAAAAGCGTTCGGGAACCCACTCGTTGCTTGAAATACCGTCGATCCTCCTCATCAACTAGGACCAAGTTCAACAGATATCGGACGGAAAATTTCTTGCTCACATCACGCATTGTAGGTGCTAGATCGTGACCAGCAAGAAACAGACGTATTGGAATGGATTCGCCTGCAACAGATAGTTCGAAGAGTAATAAATTACACTTTGAAATGGCATCTCACCTCTTACAGGCGCACCATCCATGATCTCGAACTTAGCAACTGGATCTGTCTATTATACTCGAACTCAATGTGTAGGCAGTCTTCTATTCCAACCTGGAAAATTTGAGGATGAGTGAATAATGAAGGCATTAACAAATAAGGAAACTTACATCCATCTTCAGATTCACATCAGCGTCCGGGTAACTACTAAGGGAATGAACGATTAGATCCATCTCTCTTGTGATATCCGTTATCCGGCGAACGATAGTCACTCTCAACGAGGAATTCTGCGTGAGTTCGCCGGGTCGTGCCAAATCTTTTGTTAACGATATGAAATCCTGTTGATTGCCACGATCGTAGTAAACCTCTGTAAGAAAGCAGTAAATACCGCGGAGTAGAATACTGAGAGCACAAGGAAAATTACCTATTTGTCCGATAAATTCAATCCTTATGCCCTGATGCTCAAGTTTCTGATTGGCTTTCTTTAGAGCAACATTTACAGTGCCGGAAATAGTTTCGCGATCGTAGAACAAGTAATGGGTCTCCTGTTGCCCATCTTCGCCGCGTATTTTCGCAGTCTTCAAAGATTCAGAATTTGTACAGATAACTGACAAACCCCCAAGGCACAAAACTCACTTTTCGTGTCTCTTCGTCATCCAACTTTATGGTAATATCAGCTGATTGCCCAAACCCAAAAAGAGCCTAAACCAAACAAGGCATGACCAAAAGAAGGTAAAATAACAAGCAGGGCATATATCATTATCAGCAATATCTTTCATTCATCCTTCATCTGGAATGAAAAAGTTAAAAGCCGGTTCAAGAGACAAAATGCAAAGGATGCAACAGAAACGAAAACGGAAAAAAAACCGAACACGAAAAACAACGGAAGCGACGAGAAAAGAGTACGAAAGCGAAATAGCGGAAAAGCGAACTCGAGAGAAAGAATGAGAGAGTATGAGGTGAAAGAGAGGGAGAAAATAGAGAAAAAAGCGAGAACATCACAGCTCATAACGAGAGTGGGATTCAAAGGCGCGTATCTCGCGCCTCTGTGTGTTTTGACAATCTTTCGAGCGCTACCGTAACCCAATATTTTTTGGCCACACTTCCCAGCATATGGTTCGCAAAAACCATATGTATTTCCTTCTAAAGAAAAAGGTTCGAAGGGAAACAGCTACTACGGAGAGAGGAAGGATGAATCTATAGGATGATATGAAAAAGGTAGCTGTTTGAACGATTTGAAGGTAAGTTAATGGCCTGCGGCACCCCCCCTCAAAACCTGCGGCAGCCGCAGGTTTTGAGGGGGGGTGCCGCAGGCCATTAACTATATCAAAAGAACATTTTTAGCGGACAATATTTATATGAATCAATAGCCTAAACCTCATAGATTCCATAGGGATGTTTTGAGCCTGATTCGTCTTCTTAGCTCTGAATAATATTTGGTGAAAGCACAGCGATCAAAAGCTAAAAGCGATTTTGGTTGGCTTCTAATTCAATAGTTTGGAGGTCTTCTGAAGCGGGATTCCTGAGGTGGACAAAGAAGGAGTAGTGCTTTGTATTGAGTGCAAGAAGAGGTAGCTTACTCACCGTTAAGATGAAGTTAATCATGTTTTAAATCACTGCTTTATACAAGGTTGTTTACTGCTCGGAGACCTCAGAGTTCGCTGAAACTTGGCGCATAGGGGTTATTCGACACGCAGATTACGACAATTATGCTTGATTAGAGGTACGGTAGGTTACGGTAGGCATACGGTATCTGCAAGTTTGTGTCGTTGAACTTGAATTTTGCAGGATTTCAACAGCGTGGCACATTTAGGAACTTAGCTGCAGTCATTTCCCCTTAGAAACCGCTTTCGACCTTGGGTCGATACGACCCCCCCCCTACCTACCCCCTCCCCCCTTACGACCCCCCCTTGCGGCGTGCCGCACCCCCCGCTTTACCCTGGTCATTAATGGCATTAATGTGGAGATGATTCCAACATTCAAAAGGCTAAGCTGTAAAAGTTGAATTTAGCGAGAAACATCAGTGACGAACTACTCTGCTCACCTTTCCTTGATATTGATGGCAATCAGCAATATAGCAATCACAGCAAGAATAAGTGATGTCAATGGCCAAAACATATCAGGGCCAACCTTTGAGCCTGAGTTTTGACAATAATCCTCATAATGCTTTCAAATCCCACCTCTTATGGCTGGTGCTGGCCAGTATTGTTTGCGCAATCGCATGAAAATAGTTGCCTTGCTCGTGATTTTGGAAAAAAGTATTTGAGAGATTTTTGTGCAAGTTGAATGATGTACTAAAATATAACATGCATAAGTGAAGACACCCATAAACATTTTTACCTGTTTGTTTCAGTCTCGTGCAATTCAGTAGTGTGGTCATTCATTGGTTATGTAGATTTGCGTTGACATTGAAACTACTGGCGCTTCATTTGCAAGCGTTTGTTTGGAGCAAACAGCCCTATAAATAGGATTTTGATTAAAATTATTGATAGAGTGATACCTTTGTGTCAAAGAAGGAACAAGAAAGCATTACGTTTGTGATAAAGTCGGTGTCATGTGAAACATTATTGTTCTTGAAGGAAAAGGAATTTAGGAAAACAGAAAGGAATGTACTCAAATGTTACGAAAGCTAAAGGAAACTATTATCAAATAGAAGATATACTATATATGATAGATTCTCTTCTCGATAATAATTATCTTAGTTTTGCTGGTATGGTAGACAAGCAGGGCAGACGCATTCCACGAGGGGCTTCATGCAGTCCTCCGATGGCTGATTTAACTCTATCATTTATGGAATATGAATTTATCAAAAGAATGAAAGCAAACAATAATACGGGGAACTTACATAGATTCAACAACACCTACAGATACATTGGTGATATATTACATATCTCCAAATACGCCACCGATTTCGAACGGTCCTTGACGGGCATTTATTACAACGAGCTTATCAAGAAAAAACTAACACGAAGGAAGATGAAACAAGCTTTCTAGACCTGAGCATAAAAGTAACAAACAGTATAGCATTCGCATTATAGAACAAAACAGATAAGTACAGCTTCGAAGTTTTAAGATATCCAATCTGGCAATCAAATGTACCCAGATATATCATTACCAACACTTTTAAAAACGAAACAAATATATAGAAATTGTTCAGAGTACATCACCTTCAAAAACAGACTTTTGCAACTGGCAAGACTTTCCAAGAAAAATGGATGGGAAGAAAGAATACTAATCACCTTATGTCATACTTTGAGGGATAACCCTTACATATTGCGTAAATATGGCTTTGATGTAGCTGTACATCTACCTTTTGTTCATGAAATAAGGGAACTCTGGGTGACATGATTTCAGTTCACAAAATATCATTGAGTTATTGCGCTAGACTCAGTGTAACAGAATTTTTAGTTAGATAATTACACTGGGAAATTAATTTAAGGTTCAAACTTTCGTAGGAATAGTCTCTATAATGCTCATAGTCAAGCTTAAATACCCTTCACGAATGCAGCAGGCACTAAGACCATAGGCCTGGAAAGCCTTAGAGTCCAGTAATTTTTCAATATTTGATCTCACCATCAGGCTGTATGCGCCCGCGCGCCAGAATAATTAGGTCGCATTCAAACCAGGCACATATCCAGGGTGTCCCAAAAGTAAGTACACACTTTTTGATCGTTAATATCTCTCTTCCCATTATGTCTTTTCCCGCCAATCAAGTACCGCTTTGTAGAGGAGGATTCAACTTAGATTTGCAGTATTGAGCGAGTTACCGATCGCTCTTCTTTACTGTAGGATTACTGTAGGAACTTCGACAAGGATTTAATGCCAATGAAAGCTATATTCTGCTTCGGAATAAAACCAAACAAGCCAAAAACTCTTGTACTATGGTAACGGAAGCCGCTGATTTCGAATATATGAAATTTACACTTTACTGTGACACTTTTTTCTAAAGTTATCCCAGGTAAACCGTAATAACCGAATTCCCAGAATTCAGAAATGTGATTACACCTTCAAAAAAGCTGAAAACACCCGTAAAAAGTTGTGTAGTGGAATCAGCGTGCGAGAAACCTTAGTGCACAATTTTTCAGATTTTTTGAAAATTTTGTCATTTGGCATATTTCACAGTGGTTCCACATGCTGAAAGTTCTTACCGTAATCCTACAGTAACGAAAAGAGACCGGTGATTCGCTCCATGCTGTAAATCTAAGTTGAAGCCTCCTCTACAAAATGGTACTTGATTGGTGGAAAAAGACATAATGGGGGGAGAGATATTAATGATTGAAAAGTGTGTACTTACTTTTGGGACACCCTGTATATGTCTGAGTAGATGGCGGGACCTCATCTCATTTACATATAGTTCATCCGCATTCCTGCTGTTATCCACGTTTTTTGTTTCACTTGCATTTAACTAACTCCTTTCGGCTCTCTAATAGCACTAAAGGATATGCTTTCACGAACTTTTGCAGCTTTCCTGGGAACTACTGAAGAGGGCCTCCAGGAAGTCTACTCTACCGGTATAGTTCTAAGGCCCGAAACCGGTTGAGTGTAAATTTCTTCTCAATTTGATCTTTTAGAACTCAAATATAGATGTAAGAAACTAGTCTCAGTCATTTACTCTCTTTCTCCTCTTTGAGGCTTTTTTAGTGCTTGCTCCTTTCTTGTACGTGATTATACATCACATCCGCGGCTTCTGCTTACAATACTTGAAACGTTGTCACTGAATTTTCGCTCAAAAACATATGGTACTGCACAGCTGACTCAAATAATGACACAACCAATCAAGGGGTTTTCTTTTCTAGATGGCTCTCCATGAATGGCGCTATCGCTTGAAACGATGCCCGCATGTATCTAATATTTTCCAACATTTTTCAAACAAACAAACAAAAGGTTTATAGCATAAGTGAGAACATTTCTAATGTGGTTAAAGCAGAAGAGTAAACAGCTTTAAACGACGCGCTAGGCAGACTAGCGCTATTCCAGAGTTATTCGTACATAAATCAAATGCCAAATTTCGCAAATCAGTTCATAAAACTACTATAAAACTTTACTTTGCAACCATCCTTAACTTATCGAACGCACATCATGACCTGTAGAAGCAGCACGAAGCCACTAAGTTGTTGAGCTTTTAGTTTCAACTGCGGTGAAGTAGCGGAAACTTTTAGCGTCTTGACCAATTCGCTTCAGATTTGTATTCATAGCGCAAAGGAAACCGCAACCTAAATTGACGCTCAAGCCCTGGTTTGGCACCCGCAGAACAAAGTCACATACCTAGACGGCACGGAGCCACCAGGGTAGCTCGCATGTCCCCCGCCCAGTGAAAAGACTATCAACTGCAGAAATTTCTGTTGTTCAGTCTCAGTTTTTGGTTATTTCAAACCTTCTTTTGAAAGGAGCAATGGCTTGCCCGTTTTAAGCTTTCACAAGATTGGAGCCCGTATTCGGATTCAGAGGGATAAAAAAGTTTCAAAGTGCACCAGCATTTGAAACGAATACCGCATGAGACGCTGGGAAGGCAGCTCCAGGCAAATTTGGACATACGCGTGATCTCCTGCGAAAAGTAATCTTGGGCCCCTAGCTAAGACACTGCCGAACGGCAGTCCAGATGGTACACTCGCGGCTGAGATATTCATCTCCAAACCAAGCGCTGTACATATTGAAGGCAGTGGCACCTCAAAAATTTCGCTTTCCTTTTTGTGATCCTGGGGCCTTTCCGTGACCGTGACTGCAGTTATAAAGTTCAAGCTGTCCAAAACCATTTTTTTGAAACCGATTATTGGGGACCATGTTTTT